ACCCCCAGCCTTCACCACACTATTGTCTGTGTCCATGGGCTATAAATATAAGTTCTTTGGTTTATCTCTTCTCTTTCCCTGCCCCCCAGATGTGTTAGTCTAGTCCATGCCTCCATGCCTTAGGTCTTATTTTGTTGGTTCATTGTATTTTTTAAGTGGGTGTTCAAGGGATTACAATATATACACCTAATCATTTTCAGTCTACTTAAAGTTAGTATTGTATCACTTTGTATATAATAATATAACTACAGGGTGGGGCAAAAGTAGGTTTACAGTTGTTCATGGAAAATATGGAAAATAATACAATATGGAAAATACTATAATAAATAAATAATACAAGAATAAACTGTTTTATGTACTCACAACTGTAAACCTACTTTTGTCTCACCCTGTATAATAAACGTTAATAGGGTGAGTCCCTTTACCACTACAAAACATCTATATATATATATATATATATTGAAAAATCGCATGAGATAATGTTCTAGTTTTTGTTTTAGACAATTATAAGTATTTTAAGGAATTTAAGAGGTAAAAGAAGTTATCTTTTAAATTAACCAGCTATTTAGCATCTGTTTGCTCTTCCTTTGTTAGTCGTATCATTTTTTTTCATCTTGAAGAACTTCCTCTAGCACATCTTCTAGAACATGTCTGCTGGCCGAAAATTCTTTTCCTTTATCAAAAAAATGTTTTTATTTCACCTTTATCACTGAAGAATACTTCCATTAGATATGAATTCTGGGTTGCTGACAGGTTTTTTTCTTTCAACACATTAAAGGTGCTGTTCCACTGTTCTTACCTCCATGGATTATGATGAAAAATACATGGTTATTCAAATAATTATTCCACCGTAGGTAATGTGCCATTTTTCTTCAACAGCTTTTAAGATATTTTTTACTCATTTTCTTTCATTATCAGTCATTAGCAGATGTGTATCTTTAGTTTTTAGTAATTTGCTTATGTGTGTGTGGGTATGGTTTTCTTTGAGTTTACCCTGTCTATTGTTTACTGACTCTCTTGTATCTATCTGTAAATCTAAATCTCTTACCAAATCTAGTAAGTTTTAGCCATTATTTCTTCAAATGTCTTTTCTACCATGATTTCTTTCTCCAGTTCTTCTGGAACTTCAATTATATGTTATACCTTGTGATAACTGTCTCCAAAATCTGAGGTTCTATTCATTTTCATAAAAAAAAATCTTCTCTGTTCCTCAATTGGATAGTTTCTAGACACTTTCTTCTGTCATCTCCATTCTCCTATTGAACCCATCCAAAGAGTTTCAGTGTATTTTTTGTTATACATTTTAAAAATGAATTCTATTTCTTTCTGAGAATTCTTTTCATTTATTTCAAATGTGTTTTTCTTTACCTCAGGGAATCTAGTTATAATAGCTTCTTTACAGTTTCTGTCTAATAATTCCATACCAAGGCCATCTCAGGGCCATCTTTCCCTTGAGAATTGGTCATATTTTCCTGGTTCTTAATATAGCAAATAATTTTGGATTTTATTTTAGACACTGTGAATGTTATGTTGTGCAGTCTAAGTACTATTATAATCTCTTGGAAAACGTTGATGCTTTTGTTTTAGCAGGCAGTCAATTGAATTATTTCAGGTTATAATTTGTGCTTTGATTTTTGAGACTTGTGTGGGCCATACACAGAATTAGTGAATCCCCTTCTTTCAGATTCACCTCAATGTTCCAGCCTATAGAGGTCCCTTCCCTGGTTCCTTTGTCCAGGAAATATGGTTTTTTTCTTAAAGTTTTAGCTTCCAGAGTTGCCATGCCACATTGTGACAGGGACCTGCTCTTGAGGCAAATATGAATGAGAAAAGAAAATGGGAAATTCTTCTCTGTGTGAGTCCCTCCTCACAAGCCGCCTACTTTTGTTTTTCAGAATCCTTAGATAGTTGTTTTTCGTATTTTGTCTGGAGTTTTTAGTTGTAATCAATGGGAGGGATGGGCTTTAGTGTACTTATGTTACTACAGTGGAACTAGAGCTCTCATCTTAATATTTAAAGAACATTTTTGCTGGATATAGAAAAATTGGTTGGCAGTTATTTTCTTTCAACACTCTAAAGATGTTTTTTCAGTATATTATGACATCATAGTTTCTATTCAAAAGTTAACTGTCAATTTCTTATTGTGTTGCTCCTTTGAACATAATATATCTCTTTTCTCTGGCTCTTTTTAAGATTTCTCTTTGTATTTCATTTTCATCTACTTCAACATTAGGTGACTATGATTTTCTTTGTATTTATTCTGTTTAAGATTTGTAGATATTTTAAATATGTGAGTTAACATCTTTGATTCATTTTCCTTTGGAAAATTCTTGACAATTAGCTTTTTAAATGTTCCTTTTATTCCATTCCTCTTTCTTCTTCTGGAACTCAATTACATTAATGTTAGGCATTTTCACTAAACCCCATATTCTTTTCTTTATTTTTCAATTTTTTCCCCTGTCTATGCTTTGGTGTAGATATTTTTTACTAACTTCTCATCTAGTTTTCTAGCCTTTTTTTCTGTGTTTTGTCTGCTATTAAATCCAACTACTGCATTCTTAATTTTTGTATCTTTTTCAGTTCTAGAATTTACACTTATTTTTAATAAATAATTATCTGGTGAAATTTTCCATCTTTGCAGCTATTTTTTATTTTATTTTATTTTTTACCTTTTCCTCTATTTTTTTGAACATAATTATTTCAGTCTCTTGCTAATTCAAATATTTGGATTCCCTAAAGGTCTGTTTCCACCATCTGTTTTTCTTTTGTTTTTTTAGTTATGGTCTTGTCTCTTGGCATAGCTATTTTTAATTGAACAACAGAATATAAAAAATTATATGGACTCCAGATGATGTTCTATTTTTCCAGAAAGGGTACACTCCTTCCTCTTTTAGATAAATGATGATTATTTTAATCTAACCAAAGACTGAGCTTAGTCAAGCCTAGGTTCAGTTTTGGTCAGGCTCAGCTTACCTCCAGTTTGCCAATCTTCCTAAGGCATAGCTCTGCAGGACTTCCAACTAAGGGCCTAGAGTGTTTACCAGCACCCCTACCCCTTTGCCCAGCAGCTAATGAACTCTAGCTATATTACCAGCACCATAAAACTTCTGAAAACTCTTGTCTGTCAGAGACTTTCTGCTTACCCTTTTAGCCTCCTGTCTCATGCAGTTTCATTATTTGGAAAATGTCTTAAAGGAAAAAAATTGTGTATTTGAAGACCCTCAAGTCTTCAATTTTGTCTCTCCAGCTTTGTAAGATCCCAAAAGCTCTGCTGGCCCCCTTTACCTGTCCACAGTCCTCTGATAAGGCGAAGCCTGGATTTGCAAATTTTTGCTCTGTGCTCAAAACAAGCAAATGACCTCAGGGAAAAAGTAGCTGAAGAACTTTAGTTCACTTCTGCAATTCTCTTCTCTCTAGAATCTTGTCCCTCTACTTTCTCATTGCTTCAGTGGTTCTCTGATGACTTTGAACAGTTATTTTCTATATTTCATCTAGCTTTTTGTTCTTAGGAGGTATGTAAGTGTATCATCACAAGCTACTCCACCCTAACAGGAGAAGTCCTACACCTGGCTGGTAATTTTTGAAGGCATGCTGGACATTGTGCCTGGAAAAAAAAAATCTGCGTTTTGAAGGAAATGAAGTGAGCATTTTCATATAACACTAATTTTTACTTTAGCTACAAGTCACTTTCTTTCAAAACTGAACTATAAACATAACCTTAGTGAATTTTCTTTCCTTTTGAAGTTTTTATTCAAGTTCAAATTCTGATACTTACAAACCTTACACATCCCAAGAATCCTTTTTTAAAGCTGTATTTAAGGAGAACATAAAAAGCAGGCATCTTTGCGAGTAAGGGAATTTTGGTGGTGAAGGGGGATAAAAGGAAAAGCAGAAAGTGCTAATGAAACTCACCTTGGCTGATGCGGTGTACATGGTGAATCTTGAGTACCATTTGCTTGCTTTCTCTGCGACTCCTTTTCCAGCAGAGAACATACTGCTCCTTAGAACATCTAGTTTAGGTACTAGTAGTGTATCTAAATGAAATGAAGGTGATGAATGGGTTAATGCATCTTGAGATTCTTCCCTAAATGGGCAAGTAGATGAGAAGGCTGGAGAAGACCAGAGTCTATCCCTTGGTCTGTCTTCACTTTTTGTGTAACTTTTAGATTTGATAAGTCTCATTGGCCTGGGAGAATTAGGAGGCAGGCTAGATCTTCTACATGCCTTAACAAATGTTGGACTTTTCTTATCCGTTAATTTATCATCACATGCCCGTTGTAAATCAATGCTTGGTGTCCGACTTGCCAAAGGACTGGTCATGTTATTCATATACATCACAATTTCTTCAGCTAAATCACGCCTAGCAGATGGTGTTGAAATACTCTTGCTATCATCTTCATCTTCTTCCTCCTCCTCTTTTTGCCGCTGCTCAGTCTCAGCAACCAAAAGAGAGAGGGGATCAAATCCTGTTGCAACATCAGTTTTTTCAAAAGGTTTTACTGAAAAGTTGCTGTTCATACGTTGAATCCTTTTAGGATTTTGTGTGGCAACATATCCCATTTTTGACCCATAGGTTTCATTGTCTAAGTCTTCTAAGTCAAAAATAACTGGAGAATCCACTTTATCTGTCAAACAATTAGAACCATCAAAAGTTGTATCATCATCACTAGATTCCTTTTCTAGGCTGTCTCTTTTTGATCTTAAAGATGGCCTTCCAACATCAAGACTATTTGGTCTTGTGCTTTTTGAGATAACATGTGAAAGAATTTTTGCATCAGCTCCTAATTTTTCAACCATATCTCCAGGGTTTGCTTCCTGGTTAATTCTACTGAGCATAAGTCCCATCACTACTCCTCCACTATGATTGCGGTTTCTATTTCCCCAGGACATTTGCTGCTGCAAATTAGGTTCACTGCCATTTTTATGCCTTTTTCTGAAGCATCGATTCTGAATGTTTCCTGTTTCATTCGTATCCTCAAAAGACGATATGAAGAGTGCCTCAGGTGTGCTTTCTGAAAAACAAGAGAAGTGTTTTTAGCCATGAAAAATGTAATGTGCTAATATAAGTTGTCTTAAATATTTAAAGTACTAGTAATGAAAATGATAATAGTAAGCCCTCATCAAGGGCTTACTATTTGACTGATACTATACTAAGCATTTTACTTACATTATCTACCATAATTATTCCAACATCCTTATAGGTTGAGAAAAAACTGACACTCAGAGATTAATTATCTAGCTCAAAGTTACCCAGTCCTTCAACTACAGAACTGGGATTCAAATCCAGATTTGACTAGCTATAAATGGTATGCTCCTAGATATTAGAATACACTGCTTTTTAAAAAGTATAAATTAAAATTAACATTTATTCATGGTATCCTTAATAATAATAAATTCATGTTAATTCCACTAAATTGAATAAATAACAATGGTTAATACAACTGTGGTTGTGTTAGATGACCCTAAGGGTCTGAGTCTCCTGACTCTAAAAATGAAAAACTAAACCCAAAACATTAAACCAAACCAAATAAAAGGCAGCTGTAGTAGCTTTATCCATAAATAAAAATTGTTTTTAAAACTTCAAATCCTTATGACTATAGATGTGACTGAAGAATTTTACCTTTGCTTTATTTTTTTTTTTCACTTTCCTTTTTTATTTCATTATATCCTTAGGAAAAAAGTAATTCAGGGAAAAGTACATGTAATTAAATTCTAGTAGTATGATATCTGAGATTTCAAAGTAAATATTTAGATTATAAAACAAGCTCTTTAATTGCTTATATTGTGCCAAAAGTTCAACTAAGTTGTCGTATAGTCATATTCACATAAATTTAGTTGGAAATTACATGATCAGCTTACTTGGCTTATTGAACACAACATAAAACAATAATTCAGATAAGTTCATTTCTTATCTTATTAATTTCTATTTCTATTCCTACTGTCCTAAAGGACAAAATAATGCTTATTTTTTACAAATGAAAGTTCAGCATAATTGATAAATTTACACAAAATACTTGAAAGCTACACTGAAGAACAAAACAGAAAATAAGTTGACATAAAAAAGAAATCATTATCCTGTTGATAAAGGCTGTCCATGTCTGCAAAGTAAAGTGAAAATCTGATATCACCTGGTAATCAGACTTAAACAGAATAACTGAAACTCAGAAAAAATAATCTGACTCTTTTGAAAGGTGGGGAGAAGTTGCAGAAAAACCAAGAGAAGCATACATTAAACTACACTTGAACTTCTCACTGGGCAAAATGAAGGACAAGTATATAATGCCCTCCATATCTTTAATCCTATGAAAGGATTTAAGATTTATTTAAGGTTCTGAGATTATTTTTCAAAGGATTTTGACTTAGTTTTATGTAGTGAAAGTGATGCTAAATTATATAAGATTTTCTCTTTAATTATTACTTACAAGAGAATAATTTAAAAATTGTAAAATTACTGAATACTTATGGAACACTTACAATGTGCAAGGCAAGTAGAAATCAAATAAAAAAATCTCTAGCATATATGCGTTATATATTGAGCTATTACAAAAATAAAAGAATGTAATTATGTAATTAGACTATTAACACTAGAAATTCTGAATCTTATATCCTTCTCACCTCCCAAAATGATCTGATTAAAAATTTGTGAGATCAAGTATTATCACGAATCCTAAACTGACTTTTCCCATTAACTAGTTAACTTATGTGATCTGCTAACAGTCAGATTATGCCTTAGTTTTCTCATCTTTAAAAATGGTGCTAATATCCCCTCTCACTAATAATAAGCATTACTATATCAATAAATATAAAATAATATATAAAAATCACTTTGAAAAGAAAAAACATTAGGTATTGTTACCTAAACAATCTGAAGGTCTATCCTTTTGCCCCTGAATAAATAGGGACAATATGAAGACTAAGGAACTAGATACTTCATTTAACAGCTGGCTCAGTAAACTGTACCCTCAGGCTGATCATCTCAATTGTTCCCACTTACCCCTCCCAAAAGTCCCCAAAGTCCAAACTCAAAAGATATGTGTAGCTCATAAATTTGTCCCTATACTTTATCATAAAAGCTTGAATAAATTATATTATAAAATACAGAATTCAAGCTACTAAACTATACTATGAGAGGCTGCACAAATATATAAAAAATAACCCTGGAGAATTAAGACTTAAAAAAATAAATATTCACTAGAAATACAGATACAAGCTATTTTGCACATAAAAGAGGTATACTATTCAACTCACCTGTGCTTTCTCCTGATATTTTATCAGCACTGTTGGTATTTGTACCACTGAGGCGAACTATACTGGAAGAACTTTGATAATTGAGCTTAGGAAGACAATCAGCACTTCCTTTTGCACTCTCACTCTCTGATACTGTAAAGATTAAAATGAAATTGGTAAGATGCAATCTACATAGATCACAGAAGGCATAAAAAGAAGTAGCTTTTAGTTCTGAATATTTTTCCTCAAAGTAGGTAATAAGAAATTAGTGAACACCTCTATAGGTATTTGTCAATCACAAATAAGTAATTACACTGATCTGAGGCCTCAAGGTATGTATCAAATTACTAAGTACTGGTCATGCATGAGATCCATGCATACATTTATATTACTTCTTTGGTTATAAAACACTGCTTTTGATGGGAAAAAGCAAGGGGAAAATATAAGCAACAGACCATTAATAAAAGCATTAAATAAAGATACTATTACACCTCAGAAAAGAGCCACTTTGTGGCCCTGGGTGCATACAGGAGGCAACTGATCGATGTTTTTCTCTCACATCAATGTTTCTCTTTCTTTCTCTCTCTCTCCCCCCCTCCCTAAAATCAATAAGAATATATCTTCAGGTAAGGATTAAAAAAAAAGAGTCACTGCTCAAAAAAACAGATTTCGACTACAAGAAGAACAGTATTTGACTGGAAAGTGGTTGTGCCACTGAGACTATACACTTCACACATGAAGATCTGCATGTTGGAATATTAGGTGGTAGAGAGGGCTCGTAATAGGAGGAAAGAGGAGTTATAATAGGAAAGTGAAAAATAAAATTAGTACTTTTATACTTAAAGCAGTTGTATTTATTATTAATATAAGTTCACAATTTTTTTACAATATCAACTTAATACCTACAGGAACTAGAATCACTCCCTTTCTTATCTTTTTCTTCTTGAATGTCCTCAGTAGATATATCTCCTCTTCTAACTTCATCTTTAGATAATGAATTATATCCAAGATCAGACTGGCCACCTAGAAAAAAAAAAAATCCCTATCATAACCTTCTTCAGTGAGAACTGGAATTAGGAGCAACACATTAATGTTCAGAGTTACTTATAGAAAATTTTCTGGATAACTTTAAATTGAAAACATTATTTTGCTGGATTCCCCTCACCCCATCTCTATTAATGCAAGAAAGGGATAATCTCAAAATAATTTATTTTTGGCTCCACATTGCAGATAAAAGTATATACATTCACAATATTATCTGGGCTTCAAAAGACACAGACAAACCAGACATTCTTTATACAAATCCATGACCTTTCTAAGTAAAAATTTGAGTTCCAACTAAGCAATGAAGAAGAAAAATCTGCAGGGAATTCACAACAGAACCTTCACACACAGGAAGCTGAATGTTTAAATGATTTTACCACCCCCCAAAAGATTTAAATTTATATGTAGGTAATTATTTTTTTTTGAAAATTCAATCATACTGAATTGCTCATGAGTACAAATACATGGGAATGAGAAAAAAATTGTGTTAAAGTTATTGTTAAGAAAAGCAAAAGCTACATTGATACAAGAAAAACTTCTAATACATTGTATATTGTTGTGTTAAAGAGGTTCTCTACTTTGCAGCAAATTATTTTCACTAGATTAGCATCAAAACATAAGGTTTTGAATCCTAGTTCTCTATGTTATCAGACATAATTTTAAGTAAAACTATATAACCTTTTTGTTTGGATCTCTAGTCCCAAGATTTGTAATAAACAAGGTTGTTATGATTATATGAGAAACTATATATGAAATGATTTTCTATACCTGTAAAAAACTGTCTAAAGAAACCTTATGAAGTATCACTAGGCATTTAATATAGTTGTTGTATTTTTTAGATTGTACTTCTGGTAATCAATTTTTCAGCTCTATTCCGAAAGAAACTACAAATTAAAAATATGAAGATAATCTTGATGAAATTCATACTTTATTAGGTTTATTAGGTTCTGTGCTGTTTTAAGGTACTCTTTTTTTCTTTTTTAAGGCCATAGTTAAAAACAAAAGATAGACTTCTCCATTTTTAAGAGATAATGCCTGAGGACTACTATAACTCTGATTATATTCACATTGCATGATTAAGAAATAAAACCAGCCAAAGAAAAACAACTATGAAAATTACATTTCAACACAATTAGCTTATATTTATATTCTTAAAAACAGGTACAAAAGAAGACAGACCAAAACAGTGTTACTTTTTGCAGAGATAGAAGCCTTTATATTTTATTATTAATGCTCGGATTTTTAAATGTAAAATTCTGTCCATTAAGAGGTGGCTCTTATATTTGAAAACCATGTGTACTTTTTAAAATGTAATAATAAAAAGGACAGAATTATTGAAGTAATTTTTTTTTTAAATATGTCAGTTTAAATATTACTTAGAGAAAGCTTATGTATAAATCTTACATTTTAATTAAATTAATGCCATCTTCAGTGCTAGAATACTACAAATTTTATATGTATTTAAATTATTTATTTGTAACTTTTTATTTTAATATAGTTTAAGACTCACAAGAAATTGCAAAAATAATACAGTACAGAGAAAGTTCCTGTGTACCCTTTACTCAGCTTCTCCCAATAATATTTTACATGAAATAGTAAATTAATGTTGATATGGTACTGTTAACTAAGATTAGGGCTATAAATTTCTTTTTTAAAAACTCTAATTACACTTTCAGAATTGCAAAGAAGAACTTATCCTAAAAAATTGATATGATAAAGAGAGCTGTGTGCTATCCAGAGTTAATTGGATTATCCTGGACTAAATCCTTGAATAAACTGTTAAACTGTTATTTCTATTCAAATAAAGAATGATAAAATTGCATATAGTTATTAAATGCAATATCAAATCAAGTACCTAACATACAAAATTAAAAGTGACAGTTAAATATGTAATTGAGCATTAAAATCCAAAAAAGACAGGTAAGCAAGTCTAATTTTTAAAATATACTGTAATATATGTATACATAAGCACACACAAACCTGTACTAGATCTATCATCAGTAGCATATACTTTGATTAAACCCGTATTAAAAGGTGCCTGCTCCACAGTGTGTGTCCCATGACCACTATCCATGCTGCCATGACTAACAGCATCCAGGTCACTGCCATCTGCTTAAGAACACAATTTGACAGCATTTTACTACTCAGGGAGATACCAAAAACACACATTAGTTTGTTGCTCAAACTAATATCTACTAATACTGAACATGAAAAGTGCCACATAACTAGCAAAATACAACTGTAACAAAGAACCCTACTGTGAATCATCAACGAATACTAAAATGAGACCACCAACGTTGATAGTTTAAGTTACAAGAAAAAACATAAAATTTTGTGTTTTTAATGTGAAGAATACCCCAATATGAGAATTTGCTTACTGGCAATAAAAACTAGAAAACATTCAATATTTTGAAAGTATTTCTAATTTCTAAAAAATGTAAAGTATAACTAGTCAATTAATTTTAAAGAAAAAGTTAAACACATGCATCCCTTAAAAACCTTTAATTACCTGAGAGAGTTGTTTGTGATAAGTGTGCATATTTCTTTAAAGCTCTTTTGAACTGTGCTACTCCTAAAACAACGTTTCTTAATTTTGTCCAAAGATAATAGCCATTATGACTTCGTGAAGGCCAGGTACTTTCTAAGACAGCCTATTTGTTCAACAAAATAAAATAATTAGTATAATAATTTTTATAAATGAACACATTGTCTTTAGAGTCAAACTAAAAAAAATCTAGGTTGTATAACACAAAATAGCACAAAAAATTTTTACTTGATTTACAAAATATATTTTAAATACTCTAAAATAAATGCCAAAATTGCCCGGCTGGGCATGGCTCAGCGGTTGAGCCGTCGACCTAGGATCCAGGCGATCGGGGTTTGAGTCCCGGTCAGGGCACACACCCGGGTTGCAGGCTAGGCAGCCGATCAATGACTCTCTCATCACTGATGTTTCTATCTCTCTCCCTCTCCTCTCCTCCCTCTGAAATCAATAAAGATATATAAAATAAATAAATAAACTAAACTAAACTAAAATAAATGCCAAATAACCCCTGCATCAACAATTTCTGCCATTAAATCAAGGTGGTATAATCACAAAAGTTACACTCTTTCTCCACTAAATAAAAGGAATCACCTTATTATAATAGCCATAAGTAATGGCATTGGGGTCAATACCAGCTTTCTGCATTTCAAAAAGTACTCGAACTGCAAGCACTGGTTGATCATATTGTCCACAGAGCTGCATAAGAATTCGGTAGCACACCTGAAACACAGTAAGTTCAAAAGTGCACAGAAATAAAACATGTGTGTACATAAATATAGAAATAATGCATTTTAAAGACAATTGTTACCTCATCTGGTGGATCCATCTTCTTTGACTGCATTTTTTTAAGCACATCATATGCTGTCTTCAGAGCCCTGACTTTTGAATGACATACTTTCACATAAGCTGGGAGACAAATAAACCATAGTCCGTAACAGTGACGTAGTAGACACCTAGACCACATCTGAGGAATGGAAGAATACCGCTTGGCAATTTTATGGGCTGATTTAATTTCCTAGGGGAAAAAAAAAGCAAGGATCTCATTATTAAATTTACATACATGGCATCCTTATTTAACTGCATGCTGAACAAATACGAGTCACTTGCTTTTGTTTCCCTAACAAAATCTGTTTATAATTAATATATATTCAAGCCTCTGCTTGAATTTGTATTATACCATACATAAAATAAAGTTCTAGCACAAGAGAACTAGTTAATTTTCTGAAGTCCACTTATTCTAAATTATCTTCAGAAAGCTTCAGGGAGCTTAATCTAGTCATAAATGAGGTAGTAAAGTATATTAAGGGAGGATGAGTGTCATATTTATTTTTGTTCTAATATCTGATAACATGAACAATGCAAAATTTTCAAAGCACCTGTTTTGTTCTTCTGAACATGGGAGAAGGACTACTAGGACTACTTGATTTTGAAGGCAGTTTGCTCTTTCGTGTTTGTAGAAATCCTTCAGGTCTCTCAAATAAATTGTTCCTAAGAACTGGAAATCCATTATAGCTGTTTTTGAAAAGAGAAAGAGAATCTCAAGCACACACAGATTATCATATCATACTGGTTAAAAGCTAAAAAATGTATGACCAATAACTTCTTAACTTACAATTTATTTTCACTATGTTTCTCCATCAGACTAGGATATATACTCAGCAAATACTCATGCTAATGTTTCTTTTCTTTTCTTACTATAATATTTAGAAATGTAATAGCCAAACATAAACTCAAATATATATTTTGGAGGAAAAAATTTTGCTGAATTGATATTAAACTACAAAGTAACTCAAGCACCTTGTTAGTATTTGTGTAAATATATAGCAAACTTATCAGATAATATAACAGTTGGTTAAGGGCCCACCAAATCAATACTCTTTCGAAGAGGACAGTCATTAATATCATTGCTTTGGATTAAGTAATTACTGTAGAACCTCCCTCTTAAAAAGATGCAAATAACATATTAGCACACCAGGACAAGCTCTCATATTGTCATGAATTGGTTTATCAGGTTAGCTAGCAGGTTCAGGGCCTCATTTATGAGAAAGTTGAAGAGGTTAAAGAAGAGGAAGAAAAGATTAGAATACGTGGCTCTATGAGGAGGTAGGTTTAATTTGGGTGCTAGAGGAAGGTGTTTGGACATTTAAAAGGTAGCAGCAGCTAAGAAAAAGACATGCTGCAAAGAACAGAAGCCCCTGAACAGCAAACTTAACCTACTTTATATTCTTAAAGGCTACAAGCAGTTTTAATTAACTAAGAAGAAAACTATAATAAAGGATGGAAAACTGTATTAATTATAATATGCAAATTCAGTTGAATAATAAAATATTGGTAATGACTGAATGTCAAGTAAGAATAAAATATGAAAGTAGTTCAAGAAAATGACCCTTAAAAAAATTCATTGTATGTACATGGTGTGATAAGACGACCATTCTGTGTATTCTGTGGAAACTTACTGCCTTATCATTTTATACAGAAATGTAAGTACATAATCATCTCTTATTAAGAGGACCCACTGTGTTCATTAAAGGCATTTATTTTAAGTTGTTTTTCAAATGATGAGTATGATTACACCAAAATTATACTGGGTAGTCTCAAGGGGAAAAAATAACTTAGGTTCTTTAAAAAATGGGAACTTTTGCCCAGCCGGGCGTGGCTCAGCGGTTGAGCATCAGCCTAGCATCCAGGCGATTCCCGGTCAGGGCACATGCCCCAGCTGTGGGCTGCAGCAGATCAATGACTCTCTCATCATTGATGTTTCTATCTCTCTCTTTCCCTCTCCCTTCCTCTCTCTGAAATCAATAAAGATATATTAAAAAAAAAAAAA